AACTCCTTTAGTATCAGGGGGTGGACTTAACGATCTCTTGAGGATCTTTCTAACCCTGCAATTGTGTGATTCTGTTTTCTGCTGAATACAGATTCAGAAGTAGATCACTTCTCTCTTGCCATCATTTGAATGCTAGTTTTTCTGTTGTCTTGTTTGTTTGTTTAAATGCTTTCAAAACTTATGCTTTGAGGCTGGGTCTCAGCCTGGTGTGCTAATGTAGGCTATCAAATATGTTGGGTAGTTGCTCTCAACACCGCTGCAGCTTTCATCACTTACAGTTTTAGTGTTCAGTGAAAAATCAGTGGATGCTGACATTAGATCAAAAGCTTCTCTTGATTAAAAAGCAACGTTTACAGAATGGCTGTATCCTGGTACTGGAACAGCATTTGTCTTTATCTCCTTTTCTCACCTCTTATATCATATTTGTCACTCATTCTCAAGCTTGTTCCTTCAGCTCCTGGGGATTCCTTTCCAAAGGTTGAGATAAATTACACCTTTAATATGTAAAATATATTGACAGAACCCATCGCCTTACAGTATGGAGTTGTTCTGGAAAGAATGTTGAAGTAATAATTTAATTAGACATTCCCAGAATATTTATAATTTTAGTAAATAGTTTGTCTAAAAAACTGGAGAAAGTAGAACTTTCTGCAGTTGTTCTTGTATCTGGTAAGGTTGTAAGATAAAACTGAGCTAGACTCATAGAATGGTATAAAAATGTTTGTGGAATTCTTAAATCTTTTGAATGGCCTGTTGAAGAATGTGATACTAGCCAGTGAGCTGCTGGAAATATAAATTCAATTACAGTAGTTGCTATTAAACAGGAAAGTTACCCATTACTGTTGTCTTGTGGTACTGGATGCCACAGTTGTAAATGAATAATCAGCACAGGCATCTAGAAATAGCACTTCGGATTCTGAAATGCCTTATTGATGGTAAATATTGGCTGTTTCGTAGTTGCTTGTGGGGAGAGGATTGAGCTGAAAATGGATTTGATAGCTGTCGGTCACTTTTGCTGAATTCAAGGTGAACTGAAGCAATTTCAGCTGTAACTTAGAACTGACTTGCAGATCAACGTAATGCTACTTCACCTGCATCCAGATAAACTGAAGAGTAAAGTTGCACTGTGTAGAATTGATTGTGGGCAGAAAATAAATATAAAGTATTGGTTCACTCACACTGTATGTGAACTTAAGGGCATTAAACCTTGCTCAGAGTGTTTGTAGAACTGTTATAAGGTTTTGAAATTCAGAAGTTGTAAAGACAAAACCATGTTTTGCAAGCAAAGGAGCTGTGGATGTGGGTACCCAAATTTCATTTTAGGGCTATTGGGAATAAATAAGCTATGGCACAGTTGAATAAATGTACTTCAGTATTGAGAAAAGATTTCCGTGTGTTCTGGCCAGAGAATTACATTACTGTAAAGTTTCTTCATATTCCTAATTCTTTACTGCCCAGACTAGTGAGTTTTTAAGCATTTTTGCCAGAAAGATGGCTCTTCTATTTTTACCTATATGGGGAAAAAGTAGTCCTGTAATCATCCAAGTAATAAAGACAGTAGAATCATCAGCAGTCTCTAGCAGAAGTTACTTCAGTAGTGTCTAAATACATTAGTGTCTAACTCTACTAAAGTGGGAATAAACAATTTTACCTTGTCTTGTGTGTGGTTTTTTATAATCTCTGATCTATCTTCTGTTTGAGTAGCAAAAACTTTTAAAACTATTCTACTTCATTCTCCCTTTTCCCATTCTTCCTACTAATGCCTACTTTAACAACATAGGATGTTAAGGTAGTAATAAAATGCATGACTGTATCTTAAATTTTGTAAGTACAAAAATACGTACTTTGCCAACTGAGAAATGTATCTCTTAGCATTTCAAAATTTACTGCTGTGAGCATACATGTCAAAGAACAAAATCTTGCTGTAGAAGAAAAGTTCTGGAAGAACAGGATTTGCCTGAGAAGCAAAATGTAGAAGGCAGTGGTGGTTTTTTTTTGTTTGTTTTTTTTTCTTCAAGATCTTGCTGATTTGTTTTTGGAAACGGTGGTGGGAGCTGTCAGCATCCAGGAAATGCTCAAAACAGAAAATAGTGTGAACAGTGTCAATTTCTGTGTGCTCTTCTGTGAAGATAGACATGAGAGCTATTTTTGAAAACAAGTGAATCTCCTCAGAGAATCTCCTCAGAGAGCCTGAATGTAAGAATGTATTCTATAACCTAGACTTTCATTCCAGGACGTTTTTGAGGAAAACTTGTAAATAAAATTTTGTTCAGTGTTTTCTGAATGGAACACTTCTGTGGGTTAAATCTTGATGGCTGAAGAAAGCAATTCTGAAATGAAGTCTACTGATGATGTGGGACAGCATCAGAGAAATAAGGTTTAGAGGAGGGGAAAATTTATCTGGTGACTGGAAATGGAACAAGAAAGAAAACAACGGAGGTGTAGAACAAAATCTGAGAAGATAAAGATGTATGCTGAAGTAATAACAGGACAAAGGGGGGTTGTAGAAGAAATAAAGCAGAAACAAATATTTATTTCTTTTGGGGGGTGGAGGGAGGAAAGATTAAAAAAAAAAAAAGGACTAAAAATATGCTAGAATCTGTATAATGTACATTCTGTGGTGTGTTTTCTCTTATGCTGTGTAAGAAGCACCCAATACACCACACTTCATAGAGGAATAGATGTGGCATTTGTTGCTGATTCTTGAGTTACATTGATAGAGATTACTGACTATGCATGTAGAAGTAGTTGTTCTTGTACACTGTATTCTTTGGTAGCAAAGATTACTAAAAATTCTAAATTAAGATGGTGTCAGACAAGGGTTTAACTTCAGTGCTCTTCATCTGACACGTATATAAGGTTTATTGTAGAGTAGGAGGATCAACTTGATACACCAGGGAAGCACTGTCTGCCATTCCACAGTTCTGTCATCTCCGTGTGGAAGAGAAAAAAGCTCACAGGCAGCTGGCTTCTGTGAGACTTGCTTTCCCTGTTACAGTTTGCAATTAGAATGTTAACTTATTTATGGTGTCTAGCGATGCACCTTACCCAGCTTCCTCACTTAATGAAGCAGAACTACTGTGGGATGTGGAAAAAAGCTTTCTCCACCGCCACGGCTCCACTTATACAATTCCATGCTTAGATCTATAGCATTGTCTGCTTCATGTTCTTTCCACTACATGCATAAGTGTAGCTATGTGACTATTTACATTTTTATATGAAGTTTCTGTCAATCTCTGAGTGACTCTGGGATCATTGGTGGTAAAGGTGTACAATTGTTGCATTTTTTTTTTTTCTAAGTAACTCTAGATTTCATGTTTAATTATTCAATTTCAAGTCCTCTTTTGTAAAGTTTTAAAAACCTTAATGTACCTGTGTGTTGGTATACTTTGAATGGACTGCTTGATATGAGGAGACTAATCTCTACAAAAGGCTGTAGGTTAGTTTTAAAGAAGTTTATCAAGATTCCACTGACCTGAAAGGTGTAAGAAATGTAAGTTCAAAACAGATCTTGGTTCATGTGGTCATTGTTTATTTTTTTCTCCTGTCCTTTTGTTGGAAAAACAGTGGGTTTTAAATCTAGTCCTTGAAGTAATATACAGTATTTCTTCATGTATGGGAACTGCTGAATCATGGCCTAAATCTCTGATTGATCACCTGAGGTGAGCAATGAGCCAGCCATGGGAGCACAGGTGAAGGCAATTCAGCTGTGCTGCTGGAAGGGGTGGAGCCTGGCTGCACCTCTCCTCGACCCCATTTAAGAGCTGACCACCAGCAGGAAGGATCTCTTCTGGAGATCCCTCCTCTGGAGTTTTGCAGCAACCTCAGGACGAGGGTAAGCTTTCTGTCTATTCTGTTGTTACAATGTGCTCTGCCAAACTCTCTTGTTTATTTCATAATTCTAACATCTTTATATTCATTGACTATACACTTTATAACTAGAGTTTTCCTGTTATTTTCAGTCATGAAGTAAAATAAGCTTCTGTACTCCCAGGGAGTATTTTGGACTGAATTGCCAGAACTGCTGTGATATAGCTTGATGTTGTCTTTGGTAGCTCTCCCTTTTCTCTACTGCTGTGTTTCTTGAATATTAGTTGAGAAGGTATAAAGCTACTTTGTCTTCTGTGCTCTGTGTGGTCATATTAGTGTTGCTTCCTCTAAATTTATAAAGTGTTGGAGTCACGTTGATGGGGACAGACTCTTTTCAGTGTCGAGCAACAATAGAACAAGGGGCAGCAGGCAGAAACTGGAACTCAGAAAGTTCCATACTAAAACAGGGAATAACTTCTTTACTGTCATTGTGACGGAATGCTGGAAAAGGCTGCCCAGAGAGGTGTTGTGGTCTCCTTGTCTAGAGAGATTCAAGACCTGTCCGGATGCTTAGCTGTGTAACCTTCCATAAGGAGCCTGTTTTAGCAGGGGAGTTGGACTCAGTAATCTCTAGAGGTCTCTTCAAATCCTTATTTTCTGTTTTTACAGCGCTAATTCTTGATGAAGTAAAAGTTTGGTATTGTTTAAAAAGAATACTGCGTGTAGGTGGAGCTGTCAGTTCAGCCAACAGTGTTATGTGAATAAAATGGAATTAGTACAACAAAATATTCCTCCACTGAGGTGTGCTGCTGCCTGTGATGTACTAGGAAAGGAATTTGGATAGAATTGTTCACAAATAAAGTCACAACTCTATTTACCTGCTGAATGTGGAAATAAGTTGGTGGATGTGAAAGCAGCTGAGAATGTGGAATATATCCAATTTGAATACCAATTTGAATTGGCCAGGCCAATTCTATTAAAAAAAAAAAAAAAAGCCTGCAATTGTAGTGGTAAGAGCAGCTGAATTCTTATGAAAAGAAGGTGCTCTAGTAAGCATGTTATCTCAGTAACAGAGGCAAAACTTTGTTTCTTAAAGTAAGTTCTGCTATTGAGAAATCTACTGTAAATTGGGTTTGTCTTGGGTTTGTCTTCAAAAAGCAATGGTTTTTTTTGTTTCCTATCTATTGTAGGGATTGGACAACGGTTACTTCCATGTGAAAGGGAAAATGCTTTCAGAAGGTAAAGATTCAGCAACATCTTTTCCTGTGCCATTTGATCTGCCTCCAGAACAGTATGGAAGCAAAGGTAAGATGTGGCTTTGGAAGACAAGTAGCATATCATATAAGCAGTAAGCTCAGCTGAGTAACTTTAAGTTGGTTTTAATGGAGGTATGTTCCAAAGCTTTATTGTAACATTATGGCAGCTTGACTTTGCGTTTGAAATGGTAGCACTCCTACATTCTGTTTTAAGAAAAGAACTTAATATTTTGGTTCTTATTTTTCTGTATTGTTATCTAGGTTATGAATTCATCTTTTTCTCATGCTGGTAGTGGCAATCATACCTGCATTGGGAGATGTTGCATCTTTTCACCTAGATTCCCCAGGACTTAAAATAGTTACGATTTGCAGGAATGTGGTGCATGTTACTTTGTAACTTGCAAAGATAATGTATCTGTTTTATGAGCTTCCTTCATTCTTTTACACTTAAAGCTATTCTTAAATGTTACTCTGTCCTTCCTAGTGGAGAAACTACTGGCTTACTGAAGAAATTATAATACAATCTACTTGCTACTGTTTCATCTAGTATAGAAGACATTTAAATATCAATGTCAGAGAGGGGTGATGAATTGTGCCTGAGTTACTTGCTAGCAAAAGAGAAAGAATATTTTATGTATTGTAACTATTACTGTCCCGACTTTCGACTCTTCCTAATTGCGTGGTTAGATATTAGCTGATGTTCCAATAAATGCAGTGAACATCAATGCTTATGGAAAAATTTTTAGATAGTGCCAGTTGCAATTTGTTGTGCTTGGGGATGCATATGCAGCTGTACCTGATGGATAACTAATGCCATGCTGAAACTTTGGAAATTTTAAAGCTAAGATTTTTTAAAATGAGCCCATATGTATATTCTCAAATGCATGTAACGTGCAATCTTCTTTTGACAAAAATGTAGTTGTATATTTTTAAGTCCCTGCATTCAATCTAAGGTGTTAGTGATCCTCATGTGTCTTTCATATGAATATAGAGGCTTTTTTTTTTCTGAATAATTTTTCATTTCCTGCATGGAAAAAAAAATCTTTAGTGAATTTGCTTGTCTGTAATCCAGCTTCTGAGTTTCAGCATTCTCCTGTGAAATAGATGGATAGAACTCAAGTTGTCTGGGCTTTGGCAGTTGAAGCAGAGTCAGCAGCCTATAGCTTCCCACGTCTTTCCCGAATATTCTGTTTCAGTTCCTCAGCCTCTTGGTGGAAAAAATGTGTAAAGAATTTCTATATTAGAGATGGACTCATGAAATAATCAGCCAGTAACAATGCAGTTATCAACTCCCTAAGTCTCCAGAGAGTTGTGTAGATTTATTTTAATGAAGTCTTGAGAAGCAGAAATGCAAGTAATTATCCTTTCCATAAAGAAGCCATATTGACTGATCCCTGTAATTGAAAGAGAAAAGGCTCCAGGGGTTTTTCCATGAACTCAGATTGTCTAAGCATGGGAAAGCAAATCATACATAGCTTTCATAGAATCAGAAGACTCCTGTTAGGAGCAGGAAAGAAAAGAAACGGGAAGCATAGTAAGCAGATGGTGAGGAGCAGAGCCATTTGTTTGCCATATAAAGCTCAAAGTAGAAGATAGCAATACCAGAATGCACTCTTTTTTTCCTGTTTGTAGAAATTCCAGTTTTGAATGAGATATGCTTAGTGATACAGAATTGTAGTGTATAATTACATAACAGTGAAAGAAAAGCAGTCCCTTAGTGTGTGGAAATAATCTATTTGTAGTGGTCCTTCTTTGTCATTCTGTCAGAATGACTTTGTTATATTAATGGGTGTTCATCAGATAGGACCTGGCTTCCAATGTGGGAATTCTTACACTGGAATAAATTCATCAAAAATCCTGAAAAACAATAAAATATTTCTCACAAGATATAGTGATGATCTCATCAGTAAATGATGCAAATTATCTATCTGGTTTCATCCATAATTTTAGTCTTGATCCACAATCTTTTAAAATTTTGTGTTCATAACACAGTGATCTGGTGTCTGTCCTTTTCCCCTCGTCTATTGTGTCACATAGATCTGGCTTGCCTTGTTAGTTAGACAGCAGACTTCATTCTAAAACTGAAACTTAGGCATAGCACAAAAAAGATTTCTTAGAGAAACGATCTTGAAAACATTCTTGCTCTTCTTTTAGTAATTTGAACAGTGTAATTTGAGATCACTGTGAGGAAGATATCTTCTTGTTTTGCCTTGCCCTGCTCTTTCAGAGAAATAGCTGATTCTTCACTGAAATGTCATCATAGGTCACTGAAGTATGTGTTGATGTGGCTTAAGATGTTGCCGATGGAGTAATTGCAGTGTATTACCTCAGTGGAGCACACGTGAAATTTTCCTGTTGCTTTCTCTTAATTTTCAGTTGTACTTCAAGCTTGCACATAGGTGCACTTTATAATTGATCCGCAGTTAAATTACACCTGTGTTGATCTTTCATTTGATCATAATAAACACGGAATAAAATATAACGCTATTTAATGTAGCTGGTAGCAGTGTAGTTCTTCTGAAGTGAGGAGTTTGTAAGATGGCTTCTCTGAGGGAAATCATATCAGAAATATTTTCATGTCACATAGCAACTTGATTTAACTACATAGAATTTTTTTATATAGAAATTAACAGGAAGCAATGATTGTACAGTGAACTAACCCAATGAATCAGGGAATCTGGTTTACTTCATGCTATAGCGAGTTGCTGTATATTTTTGCTATTTTATCTGCTTCGCTTCTTAGTGAATTGCACTTTTCAGATATGTTTGTGTGATTAGTTTTCTGCTTTAGTGGTTCTACTTTCCACTTGTTTGGGACTTGTTGTTTTTTTAGGGTAAAACATTTCCAAAACACTTTTCTGTATTGCTGTTTTGCTAGATTTCTGTAATAAGTGTGTGAGATTAATAAATCTTAGAGCTACTTAGTACTAGGGATGTTTTGATGCAACTTGACTACTGCTGTGTCCAGTTTCTTATCTTCCCTCTCACGCAACTATGAATTCATAGTGGTTGTGATGAGAACATAAGTGATACTAAAGGAAAAGATCTTTGAATCTGGAGGCTACTTAGTACAATTGACAGGTAAACCTACAGTCTGACCGTGGCCACTGTCTGTTGTTCATCAATATTTGAATTAATGTATATTGTCTACTCCATTAATACAACAAACTCCTGGTAAAAGCTACTGCTCACTGTCATTGCATCTTGTTTCCCATGTAATGATCAGTTAGTATGGGAATCTTTGAGTGAACTGACCAAAGATTGTCTTTGTGTAAAACTAAGATTTAATGTCCAAATTATCTTGAGAGCCTTAGGAAGTCAACTCAGTCCGTAGAGTTCATCCATTCAGGCATAAATTCAAAGCTTCATCTCTGGTTTCTACAACTTTGTAAGACTTGTTGGAGTGAGAGTTGGTTGTTTTTGTTTTCCTCATTGAGTGCTCATAGTCCTGGCAGTCAGAATTCTATTCTTTGGAAATATTGGAAATATATCCAACATGTATGCCTGGTCTGCCTTTTTCCCTTTACTCAGACCTCTCAGGTACAATTTTTTTTTAATTGAGAGGAACTGAGAGGACAAGAAAAATTGTTTTAAAGTATCGCGTCCTGCTCCCCTCAACAACAACAACAACAAAAAGAGGGACAGAAAAGAGAGGCTAAAATAAATTGGCATTTTCTGCAAGAGGGATTAAGTTTACTGTTACTAAAATGTGTATGCAGATGGCAAAGTTTGAAGAGTTGAAAACCTTGACTGTAGAATCACCTTTCTCTATGTGTGACCACTTATTTCTCCAAAACGAATTTTCTAACTGGAGATCTTGTGAAATGTTGTGAAAGAGGATATAAGTATCCATTCTGTGTTGAGAAATCAACAAGGGATAACTCGTCCAGATCTCCATTTGCACTGCAAAAGACACTTGTATGACACTTTAAACTCTCAGGAAAGAATAACAAAGATGCTTTAATTGTATTTTTATACTTTATTCAATTGTACGTTCCTTTAATTCACAGACTTTCTGGATTTGGCTGTACATACTGTACTGCCATCTGTCATACGCCTGAGAACATGAAGTTTTAAGATGGCTTGCGTACATGCTATTGACCTACACGATATACTGTATCTGCAAAGTCCTGTATTTTTAACATCAGGTAAGATTTAATTTTTTTTAATATCACTTAATGAAAACCTGCAACAGCAAAACAATCTTATTGTACCATTGCCAGCTCATCATTTCAGATTCTGTAGCATTGACTCAAAGTGTGTGTGTGGGGGGGGGGAAGGGGGAGGGGATTAAGGTATTAATTAGATGTACTTGGAAAAAATTGTTTTTTCTTCAGGGCCCTTCTATCTTTGAATTGTTATAGTTTATTCAGTTGTGAGAGAATCTTCAGTAGTCTGCCCAAATATAACTGACATAGTGCATGGTCTGAGATTTCAGGTAATCTTGGAGTAGCAGTGGGGTAGAAATACCACATTTGTTTAACTGTGAGCTAGCTGTAGTGTTGTAGCTGTAGAGTTCTGCTGCTTTGTTAATGATCCAAGGAAAAGCTACATTGGGTTAGACAGTAATTCCAGTAAGGAGTAGTTGAGACAATGAAGCAGAAGTAAAAGACTAGATTTCAGAGTTATGAAAGATGAGTGTTTTGAGCACACTTGAAAAATGCATAGTGAGGCTATAAATAGGGAATAGTTCATCTTTTTTGTTTTTTTTCTTCAGAAAATCAGCAGATTTAATTTTCAAAAGCTTGGAATTGAAAACTTTGAAAAGCTTGTGAATATACATCAGTAAGGAAATAGGGTCCTATGGCGTTTGTGTATGTGGTCATTGTCTTTCTCTTGTTGCTGTTGCTCCTATTAAGTGATATTAAAAAAAAATTAAATCTTACCTGATGTTAAAAATAACTATATTGTAATTTGTTTCGCCAATAGTTTCACACATAAAATATCAGATTTCTAAGAAAAACAGGCTAGGATTATGTAAGATTATTTGAAGAGGAAAAGTCATTCTGAAAGGAAAGAGGAGATTGCTCTATTTTAGTAAAAGTAGCCTGAGAGAAGTAGAATAATAGCCTCACATCAGAGATCAGCGGCTTTTCTGCGACGTGTACATGGGAGGAAGAAGAGCCTACAGCAGGCTGCAGAGCTAAAGGATTGTCTCCTGCTGCTTTGCTGCTTTTCCTTCCTGAATTCTTCCTTCCCAAGATTTGGAATAGCTCCTGTATTTTGAGAAGTGGAGAGTGGGAACAGTCTGCTCCAAACCTGTTGCTTATCTGTAGATGTAACGTTTTAAAAAGTGAGGTGTAAACTTGAACATTTTAGAGTTCATGCAGGGTTATTTTTAGGTATCAAAAATTAAATCTTACTTCCTTTTTTAAAAAATAAATGAATTGGTAAGTTGAAAATCTGCATGGGAACTTTTATCTCTTCCATCTTACAAAGGGAAGAGATGAAGAAGCAGGTCAAAATTTTGCATTTAGTAAGTGAATTTGTCACAAGTATGTTTCTTGTTTTGGTTTACAGACCAGCCGTGGATTTGGAATATTCCTTACACTAGTGCCCCTGATACGCATGGAAATATGTGGGTTCCGTCATGAATGTTTCCAGTGTTTTGTGACGTTTCACTTGCTGACACTGAGCCTGCAAGACTAATGCAAGACTGCTTATTTCTTTCTTAAAGCTGTAATGTCTGCTAAAAAGGCTATGTTGAAGTTGAAAGGTAAATGTTGATAATGGAGAGATTCTTGAAGAATTCATAACAATAAATGAACTTGTAACTGCATTTTTAAAAGTAACTTTTTGTATGTCTTCTCATTAGTTCTCTTTCCAGTATACTTTTCAACACTGAAAGCAGACTGTTCTCAGAGATTCTCTCAGTATTTTTAGCAGTAGTGGATTTAAATGTTATTGTTTTGAGTGTCTACCAGTTGGCCTCAGCAGCTCTTAAAAAAAATTGTGTTAAGTTTAAATAAAGTCAACCTTGTTTATGTATCCTTTGTTCTGTCTTTTGTTCCATCTTCCAAGAGTATACGGTTGCTTTATTAACCATCACTTCTAGTGCAAGCTCTACTACTAATGAGTTTGGCTTCTTGCAGCATGTCACATCAGTTATTTACTAATCTTGTGGGTTTTTTGGTTTTTTCCATTTGCAGACACAAGTGCAGTCAAAAACACTAATTTAAGCAAGCTTGGCTGCTCAAAAGTAGTCTTAAATATGTTATGGTCCTTCAGCCCCAAAATCTTACTTCACTGTGCACTATTTCGTTTATTATTCCCTTTTGATTTTAAATGATCTGACTAGGTAGCAGTTCCACTGTTGTCTCTTTCATTTTGTATTATCATTCTCCGGGGTGATGTGGGCTACAATGGGAGGTGTGCTGCTCCCCAGTGTTTGCCTAACGTCTGTCTGTTTCATTCAAGAGTTATCATAAAGTAAGGTGTGTTTCTACAAAGGCATATAGCAAATGCTATGAAGTGCTGCTGCTTTGCTATCTTAGGAACTCTAGGAACTCGGCATGTTTCAACTTCAGCTTTCCAGGCCTCGTCTAATCCGCTATCAGAAGATCATTCTGAAGCCCTTCAATGGGAGCAAAGTGATCCGTTCTGTTAGAAAACTCATGAAATCTTTTTATTGTGTGGCTGTTATCCAAAGCAACCAGAGACGGGTCCTTACCTGTATCTTGTGATACCTTAATTGTTAACGCCAAGGGCATGGTTCATTGCACCTCATTGTATGAGCAAGGCCTTGGGCATAGCAACTAGGCTGGAGGAGGAAGCTGGAGGGTAGGAGGGGGAGAAAACAGTTAAAGTATGCTATCTGAGGCACTGCTGGGTGGCAGGCTTGTACAAAAGAGTTGGTTCGCTTACCAGTACGTGGTTTAATGTTCCAAGTAGAGTTTGAGCTCAGTTGACGCATATGCATGTAATTTGATTTTAACTTTCACTCTCCCAGAACAATAGGTAAAACTCGTTTTGAAGAAAGTGAAGTGTCAAGGTAGTCGTGTGCTTTTGCAACCAGTCCTGTGCATCCCAAACACGTATGGACTTGATGGATGACATGTTAGAAGTGAACAGAAAACTTTTGAAAACACCTTTAGCCAGAAAATACTGATCAATCAGAACAAACTTGAGAACGTTTATTGTTCTCTTAAGATTCCATTTTGACAGAGTGCTTTAAAATTCCATTTTTCCTATCACCCTAATTGTTTGTTTCATGTATTTTTTTCCCATAATTTTGCTGCTTTCACATCAGATTCTCTTGAATCTAGTAAGTAGCTGAACTGCAAATAATCATTTTTATCTAGAAGACTGGATTTCAGCATTGTCTGAACAAAGTTGGGACCCTAATATTCAGGAGGTGATAATATGGATGAAGGAAAGGAGAAAACAAATTATCCCAAGCTAAAACAGCACCTGACATGTAACTAAGTTTGGCTGGGTACTGTTACTGTTCTCTGTAATACTGTAATCCTATTTGCATTAAAGAAATCGATGAGATTTTACAATTGTAGGATTAATCACTGTGACCCAAACTGTCAGAATTTTAGGCAAAAGATGGCATTAGCCACACCACTACTTCTCTTTACAATAGAATTTCTTTTATTCTGACCAATTATAAATGAAGGGCAAAAGCAGAAAACATAGTGAAAATGCAGAAAGTGTTGAAAGGAGATGAGTACAATCAGAGAAATAATTTTCTATTTTAATGTACAGGTTTTATCCTCCTGGCTTTTTTTCTTCTCCTGTAATATATTGGGTCTTCTGCTTCATTTATCAAAATTGATTCTACTAATGCTCTGACTCTGTTCTGACTATATGGAAGTTGTTTTGTATGAAGAGGTTTCTTCCTTAACATGCAAATCACCACTGTACATGATTTCAAGAGCAATCTGGGAATCTTTTCAGTGATTTTTACATGATCTCTGGGCATTATATGTTGACTAGTTGCCTAAATCTAATTTCTTTTAAATTGCCTTTTTCTTTCAAATACTTTTGTAGTAACTCTTGCTCCTATGGTTCTAGACAGCATCCTGCTTTGTGAAGTTCTGACTGTACTGAAATGCACAAAGTTTTGGCACTAACTGCATGATTCGTGCTCTCTCCTTGTGACTTTCCTTCTGTTCTCTTGAAGTTGGAAAGAGTAAAGTTGAGGTGATTTGTTTGGTGCTTTCTTTTATAACCTATATAACACGTGTACGTAAGCTATTACAGCGTGACAATATTCTGCAGAATAACAAAACAGTCTGTACTTTCTGAAAAATCCTCTGTGGAAGCATGCATCCTTCTTGTGACACCTTGTGTGACCACATGTTGCTCTTCTTGCAGAAATAATTGTTATATGTAGTGGCTTTTTCTTATTTTTACTGAATTCTGCCTTCTTTCCTTTCTACTAAGGCTATTACTAGGAAGTGGGTAAGTAAGCAACTGTGAAGCGGCTTCCAAAAAAGGCCTAGTTGTTCTTGAGAAGGGCTCTTGAGGAATCTCTTGTGAGGACTATTGAGTCCCGACTCTGCCTCACATCCTCTGTACCAAGAGGTAAATGAAAGAGGTAAATGAAGAGGTAAATGAGTTCAAATGAAAATATCTGCTATAGCTCTAAGCACAAATGAAAGATTATCTTCTCTAAGTCTAAAATATGATTATCCTTCCATTTTAGTAACTGATTTTAAAAAGACGGATGATGTAGTCACATTTCTCATTTCTGAAAGTCTTTTTGTACAACCAGGTTGTCATATTTGCTGCTAAGCATCTGCTTTGTGAAAGATACAAATAGGTAGGTAAAGGCAAGAAGTGATATCGTGTTCAGTAGGACTCCCCCAGAGATGCAATCTCTTTGAAACTTAGCAATGCAACAGGCATATTGAAATGTTTAGCCTACTTTATGCCAGTGTCACATATTTATGAAGGCTTTCTTTAGTTTCAGATTTTTTGTTAATGTCAAGGTTATGAAGTTTTGAAATAAGTTTTGCTCAGCCTCAGAAGTAGCGGAGGGAGGACTATTTGCTTTACTTCCCTAGCAAGGTACTTCATTACATAAAAAAATTGCACAGGAGTAAGCTGCAGCTCTTGTACAGCTTCTCCAAAGAGAAGCAGTGCATTTTAGTTTTACTTATAACTTCTGAATGTGATGCTTAGTTAAAAAATATTGCCACTATCAGTGAGATACAGAAACCAAATCTCTGAGTCTTTCATTTAACAATATCAACAGACCAAGTAAATACCTTGGGTTTTTTGTTTGTTTTTTTTTTTTTCTTCTACTATTTACAATTATAATAAACCTCACTCCACCGATTGATTTTATCTCTAAAAGCCTGCACAGGTAAACACAGTGAAACTGTGTTGGTGGTGCTGAGGTGTGTAAGGCAAACGTAGCACATTTCCTGACAGCGATACCACGATACCACGAATGGGTATACTTAACTTAATCACTTCAGTCTCTCAGCATGTTAATTTGGGCTTGGGGTTAATCTAATTATCATCAAGATGTTTCGTCTTGTTTTTTATTTTTTTCTGAAGCTAAAAGATATCTTATGCCAGTGAATACATTGTATTTTTTAATTCAACTGTGCTTAAACATTCAAGGTGAGCAACTGCATGACCAACTGCATCTTTACACTGTTCCTATTCTACTCAAATTTTTCCACCAATGGGGAGAGTGCCTTTTTTTTTTTTTTTTTTACAAGAAATTGTTATTTAAAATAAAAGCACCTTAATTTTAAAAATGAATGTAAAAGAGGAAAAGGAGCTTAAAACAATAAAAGGTGTCCTACTTGTGGTATCTGTTATCCATCTTTTCATTTTCCACTTCAGGGTTCCAGTCCTGTCCAGTCCCCATATTTGCTCAGTCCCAAGTAGAAAGAAAATCCTTAAAAAAGGCTGCTCTCTCAAGAGATTAAATCACCACACAACCTTTGTAATACTTTAATTTAGTGAAGATTTCACGTTTTTATTAGATTTGACAAAACTTGCAATTTTTGATGCCCAGTGATAGTAGTACACTTCACTGTCTCTCAGAAATATGCCATGTGTTCTCTACTTGTATGAATGTAATGATCTCTGTACCCAGAAGGCCAACACAACACTAACATGGCAGTGGATCATTCTTTGATTGTTCTTCCTGTTCCTTTGATCAGTTGATACTATGGATATGAGCAGGTAAAGGCTTGTGCTCTTACTGTGCTTATTCAAGCTACCTCAGAAAATGGTGGATAGAAATGGGATGCTCAGTCCATTCTGCTGCCCCTGCTAGGACAGCACTGATGTTGGGCTGTCTGTTTTCTGACTGGCAGAGCAGGGCAATAAACTTATTGTCCTCTAACAAAAACTGTCAATAATATTAAAGGAACAGTGGCATTTCCTACAGATGCATGTGGTTACCTTTTGCACTTGGTACAGTTTGGTAAATCTGGTGTTTAGTCTTCCTCTTTTTAGCTGTTTATTGTCTTCTAGCATCACTACTAATTTTAACTGCCAAATGCCAGTGTGCTCTGAAGACTAATGAAGAGGGGAAAAAAAACAACCCTGCAATATGAGTTACATGTTGCCTATGAGCGACAACACATAGGAAAAACAAAGAGGAAGTTTGGATCTCCCTCATCCTCAGCTGTTGGTGTGTGGTGCAATGTGGCTCCTCTCTCAAAAACCAGGACCCAGGCCCAAGGTGCAAACGCAGCCCGGGCCCTGAGCCGGGATGCAGCTTACAGCGGGTGTGCCACTGCCTGTTGTTAAGGGACTTGTGGAACCACCCGTATCTGAATTCCTATCGCACTTGTGCTGCAACGTAATTAGTGGGAAAGGGGGGGGGGGCAAAGAATGGCAGGTAGTAATATCTCGCTAATCTACTTTCTAAAACAAAATACACACATCACGTCTTTCACTGGAGAGAAAATGTGGTACTATACAAATATGTTCTGCAGAGCTGAATGCCGACACCCCACCGTTCTGAGGTAGGATTCAGCACCGTGCTTATTTCTACAGGTTTTGATCGTGAG